AGCACAGTTATACGCATACAATACGTGCATATGTACTTATCAGTTATTTATCTGTTATGTACAGTACGTCGTATGTACCATAACAGATAACAGATAACTTTCATGTCACTATTATAGTCGGACAGAAATTTATCGAAAATTTTACTCACGTCTATAGGCGTAACCATATGAGAACAACGAGTAACCGTTCCCTCTGTTTATTTCATAAAATGATTAGGATAGAAGTGACAATCAGATGACGTTATTACGAAGCTCACCTAGGCTGTAAAGCTTCTGCTTAACCCATTTGACAACAGTCTGTCGATCTTTAAAATAGCCCGGAACATATAATCGTGGTCTTGATGCATGCTCTGTTATAACGGATATATTACCAGGCTTATGGTTATTTGCTTGAAAAAGCAATTCTATTTCATACGTTGTCTTTGTATTATCACTTTTCTTTAAAATATGATTTGTTACCAATATTTGTCAGACTTTGTTAAATTCAAAAGGATAATAAAGTAAACAAATATACTATTTAATGGAAGAACCAAACCTTCATAGGTACTTCCAGCAATCTCAACGTGTGTAAATGATGGTGCAATTGAACTAAATGTAACATTGAGCGAGTAAGACATTTCCGGCCAGGTAAAATATTATAAACTGTTGCAGAAAATTCAGTGCTTAAATTTTCCACATGAACCTGCATCAGAAATTCTTATTAATATATTTTTAAGATTACAATTAAGTATAAATAGAGAATTTTACCGATTACCTTTGTCCATGGAATATCTTCCGCTATTAGTTCGTAAGATGGTGATACACGTAAAATATCAAAATGGCAACGTTTTAGATGCCTAATAGATTGGAGAGTAAGAGATAGAATTTTAATCGGAAGTGAACCAATCTATTTTGCTATTTTAACGAGGGCTTACTGAAATTTATCCTTAAAAAGATCTTCATATTGTGCTAAAATGCCACGGATCACGTCCCGAATATCAATTAATTTATGGCTCCGAGTTTCTTGATACCTATATGATAAAAATTTGTACAGCAAAATGGATATTACGTACAATTCACGTAAAATATCAAAGAAAGCATCATACCAAAATTCAAATATAAAATGAAAAATACCTGAACTGTCGCTCATCGCCTTTTCCCATCAAAATCAATACGAATCTTGCATTAAATTTTTCATCTGATTCTGACTGATTCAAAGCTTTTAAAGAGCTTTCTAACGCGTTCGACAATCGCGCAGGTGAAGGTGAAACAGAGGCTGGTGATATAACAGTAAAATTGTCGGCAATCTTCAGCGAATATAAAAAGTCTAATTAACCAAAGAATAGTAAATTTACGCGTTAAAACAAAGTCTGTACCTGTTTTAAATTTTGATCTTGCCATGTGTTTAGTATACTGCGTTCTAACGGTACGCCTGCGATGTGAACAGATACCTAATGAAAAATAGAAATGTTAAAAATATACAGATCATAAAGGAAATCGGCATAGTAAATACTTACAGGACGTCTATTACTGTCTGTGTCAAATAAATCGAACACGACACGACAATACTCTAACGTCGCCTCTACGAAGCATGACCATAAAGGACAAGGTGGTACCACTACGAAATAAATACTGTAGTGAAATTATTTTCTATGTTTCGAATCGATCTTCATTTATATAGAACTTACGAGAATCTTCAAGTTCTGGAACGCAAGGAGACTGGGTATCAGGGTGACAATCAAGTAAAATCGTTGTACGTTCGTAAAATGTCATTCAGCAAACTTAATTCTCATAATTGAGCTAACGCTAATTCTAAATTTTTATATGGGATATTTCATTGGCCAATAATCATTGATGTACAGTACATATATATATGCATATTATAATAAATTCATAACTGTCAATTGCAATGGTTGATACACCCAAAATTCAACTACTCCGTTCCTATTTAAATTTAAAGGCTAAAATTACTGCTTCCGATGGTCGTGTATTCATTGGGACTTTTATGTGCATAGATAAATATAAAAATATTATTTTGTCACAGACCGAAGAATTTCGTTCTAGTGAGTTTTCTTTTTAACTTTTTTCTCGATATTTTATTTTATTTTATTTTTTTTTAAACACGATCTATTTCACAAATTAGAAATATCCATTTATTTCAAAAATGTACAACTATTTAATTAAACTTTATACATTTTATAGGTGAAAAAAGATTTGTTGGTCTAGTTATGATCCCTGGAAAGCATCTTGTTAAAGCCGAAATTGAAGATTTAGACCTTTCACCTCATTATACTTAGTGTAATTCGGTTTTTTATAGTGCACACTAATTAATAAACAATATCAAAGAAATATGTTTGGATGTTGTAATAAGTGCTGTTGAAGGTCTAAAAACTGATAAATACTTATTTATATGTAAAATTTTAACATTTTTTATGATAATTTTGATCCTAAATTAGACAAAAATTTCCATTAGCCTTATAAGTATTTGCGTTTTACGGATATATTAATAAAATCATTAAGATTATTACCTTTCAATTGTACATTCCTTGTAGCTGAAGGTATGGTAACTGTTATACCGTCTAGATCTTTTGCCATAACAATTTGACATCCAAGACGGGATCTATTGATTATTTGAACAATCGTTCGTTAGATAATAAATAGTGTTAAAAATAAAATATTTCAAGAATCCTCACGTTTCAGTCAACCCAAATGCTAAATCCAACATATCATTCTCTTCATCTGTTGGCTCTTCTAGTTTTTTATAATATTCAGGGTCTACTATCACATGACACGTAGAACAAGCTAGTGATCCTTCACATGCGCCTATTGAAAAGATGATTATTTTAAAAAATATAGGAAAAAAAGCTAATATCATTAAGGATAATTACATTCAAGTTCAATTTCATCACGAGTATGTGAAATATCCATAATACTTTCTCCTTCATTAGCAATTATTGTCTTTTTATCACCTTCTGGTGTAATAAAGTTGATCGTAACCCTGACCAAACACGAAATTTTGATCAGTATAGTGCAGCAGGGTAAGTACAAAAAATATACGCGAATCAACCGAATCTTTTAAATTTACCTTACCCCTCGCTTTTGGTGGTGTAATAGTTATTAGGTGAAACCATTTTCATGAAAGGTGAAAGACGAAACCTAAAGCCGGTGAAAGACGAAAGACGAAAACCTTTGGGGAAAGGCGAAGCCCCTGGCGAAAGGCGAAACCCTTGGCGAAAGAGACCCCCCGGCGAGAGGTGAAACCCCTGACGAAAGACGAAACTTCTAAAGAAAGTCAATACCTCGAAGCTCTAATAAAAAAAACACCAAAGGTTAGTAAACAAAAAGCAGAAAAGTGGCTTAGATTAGGGACATATACCATTACTGCTAAAAAAAAAAGTTAAATTTTACAATTTACCAGACTCTGCCCCTTAAAAATCTGAACAGGGGCGTATAAATTTATTAACTACGTAGTTTAAAAGTCCGAATTCTGACTTTATTTAGCAACTTACGTAAAGTTTTTTTTTTTTTTATATTAGGGTTAGCAGCGATGTAAACTGAGCCCGGGCCGTTTAACGGTTCGGCTACGATTCTACAACAACTGAAAAAATTGCCGATGACCGAATCGATTTCTGAGTTCGGCCGAGGTCGATTACTTATTGATTCCGACTCGGTAACTTATTATGTGAATATAAAGAACATCTATTAATCTATGTTTAAAAAAAAGCCATTCAACACTACAGTATTTAATTTAGTCGCTAGTACAAAGTATTTAAAATAGGCTATTTAAAGTTCAAAATTTATAGTATACTGTATAATAAAATATTGGTAATAACACAAGATAACTTTAATTATTTTTATCACTAACATAATCAATAAATTGACAGATTTTAGCTTATCAAAAAATTTACTATATGAAAAATCGAGCGATCAAGAATTGTTATTTCTAATTTTTTTTCTTGCTTGTAAAATGGTCTTCCACAACTTTTTCCATGCGTATACAGCATAATCAAACATCTAAATTTTCTTCTCTCAATTAAGATAAACAAAAATTATAACATTCTAGGTCAATAATTATTTTCTTCGCCTCTTTCTTGAACCAACTTTCTGGTCGACCCTTTTCAATGCCCGAGCATCCTTTTAGTCGTGAATCCACCATCTAATATTAAATTAAATAATTATATA